TTTTTGACTGTTACTTTCGAAATTTATAATATTTGGGTCGGTAGAAGCGGGGGGAGAGAGAGTGGAATTGGGTCGGTTGCTACCTTAACACCATCTACGAAAATGTAGCATATTGAGTCTGGAAGAAGGCACTTTGGAAAACCTTTTGTAAGAATAAGAAAGTGAAGAGAACCTTGACGATTACCACTGCTGGTGTATTTAGACGAATCAATAACTTGGGCTGATTGAAAACAGTTCATAAGAAAGTCTCGGATNTAATATGTATGTAAGTATTTGTAATTATAACTCTAATTTATATTAGGCCTGAAAGAAGGCACTGCGAGAACTTTAATAAGAATAAGAAAGTGAAAGGGTCCCAAAATGGACCTTTGAGGAACACCAGTGCTACTATATTCTGACAAATTGAATGAAGCATCAACTTGCACTGATTGGGTACGGTTCGTAAAAGATTGTCGGATCTAATCATGTAGAGAATTTCTTATGCTGTATGCTTGTAATTTTAAGGATGATTTAGGTAAGTTACCGGATGAAACATTTTTTTAATATCTATGGTCGAAATGTATGGTACCGATGAAACCCCTTGTCTTGAATAAGACACTCAATTTTGATAGGATCTGAGTGAAGTTGCAGTGATTTATGTTCTATCGGGGAAGCCATATTGGAAAGGCGAAACCGCCTTATTAATTGTAAAATATCTTCTCAGTTTGGTTGTAGTTATTTTGTCCATAACTTTAGGAATTGAGCGGGTTAATGAGATGGGATGATAGTTTTGCGAGTTCATTTTGGAACCACTTTTGTGTATGGGTTTGATGATTGCCGATTTCCACCGTATGGGGACTGGACCAGCCATCAGGAACGGGTAAAATATGTATCAAAGTGAAGTTAAAGTCGTCACTTTGGGAAATATGTAGGGTAATCGATGAAGTGATGTATCATTACTGTTTCGGAGGCGTTAAGGACTTTGTTTATTGCAACTGCGTTAATATCGAAGTATTCTAAGAATGTGGAACTCGAAACAGATCGGGCGAAAGGGAAATGTGATTCGTCTTGATCATCCCATTAAACTGAAATAATGAAATTTGGATGAAATTGGGCTCGGAAGGGATCGTCCGTAATTATGTTAGCGTGATGATTCATAACAAGTCGATATTGTTGATAGAATTCTGTTGACAAAGTTAGTCAGATTATTTTCATTGATAATTTTGAAACGATATATTGATGTTTGCAGCTTCTGATTTTACTTTTGATGTATTCAGTTCAGACGCACATCTTCGTTCAAAAATGAACAAATCTGGTTTGTCGTAATCATTTGTCATTTATTATAAATCTTATCGAAACTTTTCTCTTAGTATGGTTTTGGAACAGAAAACTATAGGCAAGGAGACTTTTCAGCAAGAGATTTCAGTTAAGGCATCCAAACGGATGACCTCTTTTCGCTGTCAATAACAGTTCCCTCTCCATATATCCTCATTAATAACGTGTGTAAACCATTCAATAGCAACAATACTTTTAGTGATCGACCTTTGTGGAGTTTATTTAGATTGAGACGTATTAAATGGCCGCCAGATTTTGTTACATGATTGTTTGGTTCTTTATACATCACTTCGAGATTTACGTGTGTTCATCTTGCGGTGTGCATGCGCTCGAAGAAGTGAAGAAGTTGTTAAGTTGTGGAATAATTCAAATTTATTACTTCCATCGTTTGAATATAAACACTTCCAAATTTTAACACATTCCCGTTAAAGAATTGAACACTGCATTGTATCAAACCGCAAAAATTTTTCGTAAGAAGCATTTTGTTATTCTTGTCACAATTATTGTTTATCGCAATTTGATGTTTTTCGTTAATTTGAATTTTTGCTTGATGGTTTTTGCGTGAAAAAGATTGTTTGAATTAAAATTTTGAAGTGCATTGCTGATTCTTGATAAGAATTCATTTGAAAAGGTTATTCCAAATTCTGTCCCTTTTTCTTGCATCTTTACGAATGCCTAAATTTCATGAAAGAAAAAATGATATCATGTAAAAATTGGGCCAGAACGTAACATTTCTTTTAGCGTCTGGAACGAATCCGCTTACAGTTTGTTATTGTGGTTTGGACTAGGACTTCCTAAGTAGTCAATTTTCTCGAATCAAGTGGTTTCTTCGTGTGTTCTGATGCAGTTTAGTCGCGTTATGTAGCCAGCTGTTGGATATCAGTTATGTAGAACTGTCAATTGCTTGAGGTGATGACGCACATAAGTATATATACAATATGAGATTTATCTGCGCAATACTATTGCAATGCATCTCATCATGACAAATCATATTGGTGCGTGCAGCTTTCAGTGGAGCGCAGCAGGACGAATGAAGAGAACGAACGAAACTTTTCAGTTGTTCGTATGAAGGGCTATCAATCACTTTCTATGCAAGTTTGCACCGTTGAGTAAAGTTTTAGCGGTGATATTCGACAATTGGTTAATGCATAGCTAACGTTAAGCTCACTAAAGATCAAATTGGTTTTTGCTTCTTTTCTTTGGTGCTCGCTTATGCTGATCGGAAAGATTTCTTACGACGTCAGCTTTTAACTTTTGGTGACGCAGATTCCAGAAGAGATACTAATGTGATGATAACAATAATGAAACAATTGTAACGCAGTGAGTAANCGGAAAGATTACCTTGACTTTCTTACGACGTCAGCTTTTAACTTCTGGTGACGCAGATTCCAGAAGAGATACTAATGTGATGATAACAATAATGAAACAATTGTAACGCAGTGAGTAATAGGCAATAATGAAACAACTGTAACGCAGAAAATAAATAGGTAATAATAATATTAAAAACAATATTAATTATGATATTAATAACGGTAATGATAACAATGAAAATAACGATAAAAACAATGACAGAACATCAGATTTTTTACCAAGGTTTCGGTGTTATCAATACTTTCTTTTGGTAAAACACTGAATCGACAACACCAAAGCTGACGTCGTAAGAAAGGCAGGATGGAGAGTATCGCCGTTAATTGTCAGTGATTTTGTTAACGCATTCAATAAGATTGAGGAGACGCTGAAACAGGAGTTCATATTGGTTTATTTTACATGAGAATAAATAGAAATTGATTCATTTCGGAATGAACATTTGTTAACAGGTTCTAATTCCAGTAAGTTCATCAAATTTTAAATTGCAAATTGAAATCAAATGCTGAATGTAAGAACAGCAACAAGTGATATATTTACAACTCTCTTAATTTTAGGGTCTATTATTGTGAGATAGCCATATGTAACAAATAGTATGCTCAGTGCCAAGTGATCAGATTCTAGTTACAAAACTTTTCCACATGTATAATCCTTTCAAAAATATTTTGAAGTTGATGTTTATGCAGACAAAAAATCCTCAGAATGAATAGAATTTACCCAAGTTGTTTTCCTCATGAACCAAGCCGTGACCAAACAATTTTGGACATAAAAGTGTGTAATGCATAACACCGTTTCGATTTTGTTGAACAATTCAAAGAATCAATTGACTGCAGGTATCAATTCTGCTAACTTTTTCATAGTTCACGCAATCGTCGAAACGCCAACAAAAAGTCAACGATGATAATTAACAATTGACAATAAACGAAACTGTGCCTATCGCGATGTATTTATATGTAAAAACAAATGAGGGTGTTTTCAATTTTGAAGTGTTAAAATGGAATCAAAACCATTTATTCCCATCAACTAAGATTTTTTCAGTAACGCCCACAGTATATGACCGTAAAACTGATCAAACAAACCCCCTAATTGATCGATGAATTCGTCATCTTCAAAACGCTGAGTATCATCTTCAAACGAATGTGTCATATTCCATTTCTGTTATTATGGTCGTCGTCATTCTTTCCATCATTGATTACAAAGGCAACAAAGAACAATATTAACAATAGTAAAATATTTATATCGAAGAGAATAATAAAAAGGGAAAAGATCGTTAAAGGATACCAAAAATGGGTTCGGTATGAAACGAGGTTAATAAGAAGAAGTGAAAGTGCCGAATAACTGAAATGGATGTCTGTCATCAAGATGATAATTCCTTCATTATGTCACGACTATATACCTATTCTCATGCTGTCGAATAAATCACTTACGATTAATTCTCTTATCATCGAACAATATTCAACGCAACTCGTTCCTTCGATGAATTAATTTCATCCAATCTAATCATCGTTATTATAGTTTCATTTCAAGCTGCATCTTTGCATTCATCGCTGCTGAAGTTTTATCATCTGCCGCTTTCCATACTCAAAAAGGAACCAATTCCCAACGATTCTCCTCTACTAAAGAATATTCATACTGCAACATCACCATATCGAACGATCGTTCGATTCATTGATTGACTGTTCTATCCTCATCTAACTTTTTCGTCAGTGATAATCACCTGATTTGGTTAATTATTGATCGTTTGCTTTGTGACGCATTACTGCTCTGCAATTGTGGTGCATCTGATAAAGAACATATCAGGATGACTCGCTTGATCATCCTACCAGCCATATTCACAAGTGCTTCTGTTGCATTATGGGTTATGTTGTGGTCAGCACCTGGATGGAACAACTCAGATGGTTACCTTATACAGAATCTCTTTTCATGAATTCATTCCGTTCACTTCATGCACACTTCAATTTAGAATTATTGACCTTTTAAAAAGACTATTCATCAGCAGTGACATAATAGATCGTAAGATTACGGACCCCTTGGGACGTAAGATTGGAAAATTTGCACGAAGATTCCCAACTGCGCGATCTTACGAACGTAAGATTCCCAACTTCTGAAAAATTTGCACGAATAAGTCGAAGTTTCAGTCTAACGTAGGAAATTTTTGATTATATTTAGGTAGAACAATGTTGACTATTCACGAAAGTATTACATTGATGAAGTCGTATTTAGGTGATGCAGTATGGCACTTACCAGACCAATTCGACAACTTCACATCGATAGCGGAAAAGTTTCGAGCATATAAACAGAGGCATTTCGGCTACATCACAGTCCTTTTCATATCGACCTATTTGTATAAACAAACGTTCGCAATTCCTGGATCGTTCTTTTTGGTGAGCTCCGTCGCGGTTCTCATTTGCAAGTTTCATCACACCAGTCAACTTGTTTATACTTCACTCTCTCTAGATGTCCAGAAAGAATTTCAGCAAAAGCTCAGCTCTACTAGAGCAGTGTTTAAGGTTAATCAACTGCACCAGTGTTCCTAATCGTTCGAAGGTCTTCCTTAATCATTATCTTACTCATTACCAGCAGTGTTCCTTAAGTGATTTTTGAATGAATTTAATTAAAATGCTTCATCAAGACTGCTGAATTTTACAGTTTCATCGTTGACTTGTAGAACAAGAAGTAAATGAGAATAGATGAATCGAACATTTGAATAACAACCTGACAACGGTTTAAGAATGTGATCGCTGGTGCTTTATATGATTTATGGATCGGTTTTGCCTTGGTTTGTACATTGACAACAATCGGCTCGACTCTGTGTTATTTATTTTCCGAATTATTCGGCCGCGAATATGTCTATTATTATTTTGGTCAACGACTCACATATCTTCAACAAAAGGTTCCGCATCGTTCCGTAAAGAATCGACCATATTTGATTAATTTTTAAATGGATTTGAAAATGATTAATTAATTCATGTTGGATCCACACTCTAATCTGATCTCCACCTTTTTT